TTATTGAAACTTTTTTAACAGGTGGCAACTCCTAAGAAAAGTAGCCTATTTTCCAATATAGGTCATAAGCTGTCTGTGTGTAATTTTTCATGCAAATCCATTCAGTCGTTCCCGCATATTAAATAAATTAAACTTTTTTAACTGGTGGCAACTCTTAAAAAAGGTAGCCTATTAACCAATCTGGCCCTTAAGCTATATGCGTGCCAAATTTTATGCAAATCCGTTCAGTCGTTTCCGCGTGATGATTTCCCAAACATCCAAACATGCAAACTTTCACATTTGGGCATTCCCATGGTGGCGCACGTGACAGTCGTACGAATGCAATGTGATACAAAAAAGGAATACCATTTGTTTTCTTTAACTTTTTTGAGCCATTGTATAGCACGTAATTAGCTCTATATTTAACCGAAAAATTAAATCAATCGAACTGCTTGGTCCTGAAATATAAGCATTTAAGGTTCGTTACGTGACAAAAAATGGAAGTTGATTTTTTCTTTTCTTACAAAATCGCAAAACTCTGCGAATTGTGGATGGCTATTTTGATGAAACTTATTTTGGTATGATTTGGAGCAATTCTAGTTGTTTTTAGAGTTTTTTGAATTAACGCAAATTGTTTCAATTCTCTTTTACAACACCAAGTGTGAAACGTGACGTGACGTGGCGTCACGTGACATAAATTTCCATCGTTATATTTTTGTTAATATTGCTTTTAAATGAATTTTCAACGCAAATAAAACATGTATTTTATGTAGAATATACTTTATATTTTGACTTCAGCGCCAATTCAGGGTCAATTTATTAGAAATCTATGATTTATTATGTTTCAACCACATGCGCCAAATTCGAACCAAATCGGACCATAAATACGGTTTTTCGAAATATCTCGACCTTGGCACCACCTAGGAAGACCAATTTATGTAAACATGATTCTTCTTACATAGCCAGTATATATTTTAAAAAGCAGACAAATCGGCCCGTAAATACGTTAGATATAAAACTTTTATTTTTTTTTGTCGTGGTGGACCTTCCGCTGGAAACACCCATTTATAATATTAGTAAGATTACCAGCACGGTACAATGACCATTACAGACCTAATGAATATTTCAAAATTCAAAATAGTCCAAAAAAATGATATAATTTTACTTTATATAAAATATCCAAAAATTGAGTTAACTTGTAAATATTACGAAGTTAGAGCTATTGCACAACTAGATGGTAAGCTTATTATTAATAAAAATATAACAAAATGTAATGATGCATTTTTTAATGTACAAAATTGTAAAACAGAAGTTATAAATACATATTGTAAATTGAACAAAGTAAATGTTTATCAGAAGTTTTAAACAGAAAACAAGTTAAATATAAGAAAATAAAAGAAAGAAATTTTCAAATTTAAATAATAGAACCAGGAGCAATACTGCTTTCAGGAGAAAATATTGTAGAAAATCTAACTTTATCAGGAACATATTTAGTAACATTTGAAAATAATAGTGTAATAAATAATAAAATCTATGAAAATATTGAAACCAAAATTTGGAGTTATTTAAAAAATAATCATGTTAACAATTTTGGAATTTTAGAATATATAGAAACAACCAAAAAACAACTAAAATTGGAAAATATAAATATTTTAGGCAAAGAAGACAAAAAAGGTAAAACTCATTTATCTACATATTTTGCACATTGTCATAATTGTATGCATAATTTTGGTAATTAACATTAACATATAATTCAAAAAACCCCAATTAAACTGCGAACCTAAGCGCAAATATAGAAATTCAAGAAAATACATACAGAGTACCCGGCGCCAGTGTTAAATATATGTTTTTCACCTTTCCGAAAGCTACCGCTTCATGATAAGCCGGGGTGCATAAATTTTGAGTAAATTAGCGTCCTTAAATTTCGAAATATTGAAGTTTCAAGCATTTCTGAAATTTACCGTTATATGAAAAGCGGCCGTAATTTTAGTCCGATTTCAATAATTTTCAACGTTTTGCTTTTATGTGGCAAACACAATAACCATACCGAGTTTGGTACAAATTGGTAGAACGGTTTAGGAGATACATATAAGTGATCATAAATTTCCCAAAATTTTATAATAAACGTATTTCTTGGTAAATAATTATTGCAAGCATCCATTTTGAATAAATTAGCTTTAATATTTACTGATTTATCGAAGACTTCGTATTTCTCTAAATTACCCTTATATGGAATGTGGGCGTGGTGGCCATTTGGTATGCTGTAATAAGGCCAAGTTTGCCAAGTTTGGAAGAAATCGGTGCAGCGGTTGCCAAGATATACACATGTAACCATAAGTGGGCATGGCTACGCCCATTTTCCAAAAATTTATAATATTCTTATTTTTCGTCTAAAAATTATTGTAAATATCAATTTTGTTACTAAAATATCGCAGTTTTCGTATTTCTGAAAATTACCGTTATATGGGTGGTAGGCGTGGTTATTGTCCCATTTTCAATATTTTTAAATTTTTACTCAAGTTATCGTGTGCACAGACGGACGGACAGACAGTCACCGCTTAATCGATTTCTCTTTTTATTCTGATCATTTATGTATACATTTATCTACATATATCTATCTCCATTCGTTTTGCCTGTTACAAACAACCGTTATGTGAACAAAGTGCACAAAAGCGCTCGGGTATAAAAATTAACAGAAAGTAATGAAGAATCGGGGACGATTCATCTTAGAGTTAACGGCAGACCACACATAGCGGCACAATGAGAAATATAAACAATATTGCTTATTGGAAAAAGCATAGTTTGTATCTTGTAGATTCATAGTGCAATTTTGCTTACTCTGCAATTATGCAGCTGCATAATTGAAATCACATTTGACTTTGAGCATTAATTTAATTGATATGCTTTTTCCGCTCTGAATGGAGAGTTCCATTCAATTGTAACTAATATCTTCTTTGTCCAAGACATTGGCATTTCATCATAGCATGATGCAATGCCAACGCCTTATGGTGAAATAGTCCTTAAGTAAATAATTGTAAATACAGTATATTTTGCTTTGCTGCCTTTGTGCTTAAGTGCACATTTAAGATACCTACCCCAAAATGCGCATCAGCGGCATTATTTTTAACATTTATAAGGAAACTGCTCCGATACTTGCATTCAACATACCTGCACATTAGTGATACCTGCCTTAAAAATTTGCAACTATTATCAATTATCAAAGAAAGTATTACGTTTACCTGCACTGGCTCTACACTTACCCTAATTTTACAAGCTATTATTTATTTTGCTCATCTCGCAGAACAACGAAAACGGCAATTATTTTATGTAGTTATATAGATAATTAGATACCATTCGGAAAAAATTTCTCTTGCAGTAATTTCTACGTGTAAGTGCTCCTCCATTATTTGGTTTCATAGGGATTCGGATACCTTCCTCATTGAAGTAGTAAAGAAAATTCGCTTAAGTGCTTTTTCGGTTAAGCGCACAAGTTTTTCGTGCAAAGAAGGATGGGCAGCTAAGCAAAATATACTGTATATAAATAAGAGTGAAATTATAAATAAAGTTAGTTCTGTCTTTTTCATAGTTCGAAAACGAACTCAGTTTGTCTTATTATTTTTCCGCGAAGTCTCGGATTGAAATATATTTTTTTGAAGTGCCCTAAAGAAGGAAACATGTGTACGTAAGTTGCACATTTAGTATCCAACGCAAAAAAGGTCGAGCGTCACTGATAGTCGACAACGATTCGAGACTATAGGTGAGATTAGCGAGTGCACATAAAAGCATGCTTCGGAAGAGATTACGGGTCGATCAAAACCCATTGCAAATAATTCTTCTGCAAACAAGGAAATACATTGTTAGATTTCTGGAGCTGGCATTGTTAGCATTGTGTGTGTTTATGCTCTTGGTTTTTGTGCCCCATGTGATTGTGCGCAAAACGTTACCGAGGTGTTATCGATGAGCAGATAAGCATATCAATTTGAGAAAAGAACAAAACGTTAAGATTTCCTAGAGTGTATTTGCACACACATATGTACACGCACATGAGTGTATCAATGTACACATGTGCTCTTACATATATAGAAATGTAAACATGTACATATCCCCGGATATGTTGACTAAAGAAGAAATGCTATCAACTGAATGGGGATTGAGGAATTGTCAGGTAAGAATGTCAGCAATTGTTTGAGTTATAATTGGTGGCATTATCGATTGACAAAGAATGAAGAAAGAATAAAGAGCACACATTACCGAGACATCGGTTATTTATTGTCGGTCGCCAAAACAATGAAATACTTTTGATATATGGACATAAGTATGTGTGTACACACAATGTGTGTATATATGTACATACATACAGTGGCGCTCGTGTGAAAAGCACACATTTAGTTTTTATAATATTCACAATGTTTTGCGTAATACATTTTTTGATTTTTTAGAATTTTTTTGTCGAGGGTGATGCTTTTTTTCTTCGATATAACACTTGAAGAAATTTATTTTCATGAGGATGAAAACGCGCAACACCCTCGACAAAATATAATTTTAAAAATCAAAAAATGTACCACGTAAAACATTGTTAATATTATAAAAACGCTCTTAAGAATCAAAGAGATTTTCAGAAATTTCCAACCTGCACATTATTATACTAAAGTTTAAAGTTAACAAAGCAAGAGTTTCTATATAGTGTGGAAAGTTGGAAATTTTGATGACAGTTTTTTAAAATTCGTTAAATTTTCCTGAGTTGTACACCAAGTTTTAAACTTTGAGTTATATGATTTGTGGTATAGATTCGACTATATTTTCATAAAAAATGAACGAGAAAATGTATCATGTAAAACATTGTGAATACAGTAAAAAACAAATGTGTGCGATATAATTGAGCGCCACTGTATGTATGCGCATTCATTCATGGTTATGTACTTATGCACATACATACATATGTACATAGGTCTAAACTCTTTCTAATTGGCTCAAAATTCGTTTCTGTTGGAGTAATTGACGCACGATCACACTTACAGAGTCTTATGGCTGTTCCCTTTTAATAAACCCACAACCGTCGGTCGCCATCGAGCCCCCTACTCATTAAGACCCTTTTTTATCTTCATATAAATATCACATCCAATCTAGCAATTTCTGTTTTCCACGCCCACAACTTCCAATCGTTCTTTAATACTTTTTCTATTCTGCTTCTTTTTTTCTTGCAGTGCGCTTCACATGAAAGAACATCCAGACTACAAATACCGTCCGCGTCGCAAACCAAAGACCCTCAATAAATCTCCAGTGCCCGGCTCCACGGCCAACGCCTCACAAAAGGAGTCACAACATGGCCACATGGGTGCATCAGCGGCGGCTGCCGCAGCAGCTGCTGCAGCTGTAGCCGTCGCCGCTCAACACCCACATCATGCTCACCATCAACAGCATTCTCCTACAAGCCATCATCACCTAGCTACTGCGGCCAAGTACGGTTTTGGTCCAATGCCACTGGAGTTGACGCTCAATATGCCAACGCGTCATTTACCTGGTGCTTTTGCATCGACAACGGCTCTAACACATTACCCTCTGGATCCCACCATCGCACTCGATCTACAGGCTCGTCTTCAGGCTATGTACGCGGGAACGCTATATCACCCTTGGCGATATTTTGGCTGCACGCCGCTTATAAGCCCCGAGACGCCGCCGTCGCCTCCCAGCAGCAACGGTACCGGTAGCATCGCTTCTTCTTACGGCTGCGGCATAAAATCGGCTAAATCTTCACCTACGCTGCCACTGCCAGTGGGCACCCAGGCGCCTCCCAACATTATTTGACCAACTCCTTTGCGATTCGGAGGCAGCTCTGCGAGTAATGCTCCTGTTGGCGTCGTAGCTGAACCGGCCATGTAGGCTATTATGTAAATGTAGTAGAGATTAGATTTTAAATTGAGTATAGATACATATATGTACAATACATATGTATATAGTTATAAACATATCCGTATACTTAAAATTGTATATACCATAAAATAATAAGGGTATTCAGACTATCCTCGTTAATGTATTAATTCGTTATCTGGTAACTCGGTAACACTTTCAACTTCAAATGCCCATTATTCTTTTTCTGGTTAAAATTACTTTCGAATCAGCTGACGTGAAGTTCTTTTATTTATAAACATTTATTAATTCCACGACAGAAACGTATATTGAACTGATTAAATGTATGCACTTTTCGCGGGAGAAAATTCCAGCAAATAAGTGACAAAAAGGAATCAGCTGACATTTTAACGCGTGTGTTACCACCAGGGTTGCCACTGACGACAAAAAATACTTACCATCCGCTTGAAAAAATCTACCAAATCTGGAAAATATCTACCAATAACTTTTTTATAGTTATTTGAATAAAAACTATAGATTTGTTATTTGTTTAGTTATTTCAATAAGAATTAAAATTGTTCTTAA